AGATTGCTGTAGGTGATCCAGAAGTCTGTTTTTGAGGCTTGTTTACGTGTCTTCTCATTTCCACAGCGGGGGGTGGGGGTGTCTGGCCCCCACGTGGCTCACCTTCTCTGCCCTAGGAGCTTGGGTTGGTGGCAGGGAAGCTTCCTTCCGGGTGTTGGAACTGGCTCAGCTTCTCTCATAAACATTTTTATTTGAAAATAATATCTCCCACTCTGTAGGTTGTCTTTATACTTTCTTAATGGTGTTCCTTGAAATACTAAAGTTTTAAATTTTGATGAAATCTAATTTATCTGTTTTATTCTTTTTGTTGGTTATATCTTTGGTGTCATATTTAAGAAATCATTGCATGATTCAAGACAATGAAGGCATTCCTATGTTTTCTTGTAGGAGTTTTATAGTTTTAGCTCTTATGTTTACATCAGTGAATCGACTTTGAGTTAATTTTTGTATGTAATATGAAGAAGAGGGCCCACTCTTTTTTTTCAGGAAAAAAACCCCTGGATTTTTCATATCCAGTTGTCCTAGTACCATTTGTTGAAAAGTGCTGTCCCTGTTGGCTTATCTTATCACCTATTAAAAAAATCATTTAATCCTAAATGTACAGGCTTATTTCTAGACTCTCAATTCTATTCCATTAATCTGTATTTCTATTTCATACCAGTTTCACATTGTTTGAATATTGTAAGTTTGTAGTTAATTTTTAAATCAGTGATTGTGAGTCTTCTAACTTTGTTACTCTCAAGATTGTTTTGCCTATTCTGGATCCCTTGCATTTTCATATGACTTTTAGGATCAGCCTGTTACCTTTTATAATAAAAAGAAAATAGCTGGCACTTTTGGTAGAGGATGTATTGAGTCTGTAGAACAATTTGGTAGTATTGCCATTTAACAATTGTCTTCCAGTCCATAAACACGAAATGTCTTTCCATTTCTTTAGGTCTTCTTTAATTTCTTTCAGTGGTATTTGTTTTCAGTGTACAAATCTTGAACTTCTTTTGTTAAATTTATCCTAATTTTTAATTGTTTTGATATTGTTGTTAATGTACTTTCTGTTTTGCTATACTGGGAATTGAACCCAAGGCATTGCACATGTGAACAAAGTGCTCCACCACTAGGCTACATCCCCAGCTCCTATCTATCTATCTGTCTATCTATGAATGAGACAGAGTCTCACTAAGTTGCCTTGGCAGCCTTGAACCTGCTGTCCTCCTGCCTCAGGATGCTGAGTAACTGGGATTACAGGTGTGAGCCATGATGTTTTGCCTCGCTTTCTTAATTTACTTTTCAGCTTGTTTGCTGCAGTGGCATAGAAGCACACTGATTTTTGTATATATTGATCTTGTAAAACCTTGCTGAACTCATTTATTAGTTCTAATAGTTTTTTATGAATTCCTAACAACTAATTTTTTCTTTATAGGTTTTAAAATACAGAATCATGTTATCTATGAATAGAGATAGTTTAAAACTTTTTCCTCTCAAAGCTGAATACCTTGTATTTTATTTTCTTGCCTAATTTCCCTGACTAGAACCTCGAGCACAGTGTTGAGTAGAAGTAGCACAAATGGACATCTTTGGCATATTTCTGATCTTAGGGGGAAAGTATTCAGTTTTTCATCATTAAGTATCATGTTAACTGGATTTTTTATAGATGCTTATTATCAGATTGAGAAAGTTTTCTTACATTCCTAGTTTGCTGAGCGTTTTATCTTGGAAAGAAGTTGGGTGTTGTCAAATGCTTTTTCTGTGTCTGGTGAGATGAGATGATTATATTGTTTTTATTCTTTATTTGTGTATCTGTTTTGCTCTCTGTAGGTGTCAATTCCATTTTGTTTTACATTTGTTATTTGATCTTTCTTTTAAACTGTTATGTGGAAGAGGGGTGATATAAAATCTTTTGTGTGTATTTCAGGGTGAGGCACAGATATTGAATCTATTTCTCAATTCTTTAAATCTCAACATAACAGATAAAAATCATCGTAGCTTCCAGATTGAAGAGACTGCTTGAGGTTTTTATTTTATTTAATCTATGGAGTTGTCTTGACCAGTTCACATTTCAATTAGAAAGAGCTGTCATCAAATTCAGCACCCAGCGCAATGCTATAGCCCTGACTAGCCCCCAGCAAACATCGATTTGAAATGGAAGAGTCTTCTCTTCTGAAAATCAGTGGTACCCCTTAAGCCACACAACAAAGAGGTCTTTCCATCACCCACCTCCCTGTTCTCTGATCTCCGGCCCTCGACTCTTGTTACTGAAGACTGCTGTTCCCAAGGGAACTTAGTAAATCATGGCTTGTACTAATTCAAGTGTCAAGGGGGAAAATAGTATTTAAATTTGATGGTGTAGGGCCAGGGATTTATCTCAGTGGTTCCAGCGCCTGCCTCACAAGCGCAAGGTCCCAAGTTCTATCCCCAGTACCAAAAAAAAAAAAAATTGATGGTGTAGGCTTTAGCCTTTTAAAAGGATAATAAAGTTTTTTTCCTTAAAATGGAAAATTTGAAATAGTAGAAAGAAGGAAAATAGAATCACGCATAATCCTACCAATTGGAGACTCATTTGAGTTGGTCCTCTTCATGGAGTTTTCCCCTTATGTTTTCTTCATGACTCTGAGATCAGGCTGCATATATAACTTTCTGACCTACTTTTGCTTCAAGTGTTATAAATAAATATATTTACTGCTACAATAAATTCTAGGTAAATACTAGCTTTAAGGACAGTATGTAGTGGAATTTCCTTAACCATTACTCTATAGATAGACATGCAGATGGTCTGTAATTTTTGCTTTCAAAAAAATACCGCTATTAACAGCCTTTTTCTAGGACCAAGGTTAAAACATGGTTTGTGTCAATGTTGGTATTTAAAAGCTAAGTGGTTCCTATACTCTTTGCAGACTAGGAATCAGGGGACCCCTAGTGACTCTGGTTGTTCACTTAAAACCTGTGTGCCTTAGTCTGTCATCTGTGAAGTTCACTAGACAAATCCCCTCACAAAAACAGCATTACCACAGAAATTGACCATAATGAAAATATTTCTAAGCTTGGGATAATGACCCATATTAACAGTGAGCTGTTGATTTCATTAGAAGCAAAGCTACTACTGTGAATAGCTCACTGCAGTGAAGGCCTTCTTCCTCAGGCCTCGTCTGCTTTGTGAGCCATAGCACAAATTCCCTCTTGATTCCCACAGCCACGACCAGTAGGGGAAATAAGCGCTGTAACTCGTGACCTCAAAGGCATTTGGGGTTTTCTTTGGAAATAAAAAGAAAATATGACATTTGTTCAAATTAGGTAAGTCTTTCTTTGTATTCTCAAATTCAAAAAATAGAAACATAATCCATTATGAGGACTTCTTAATGTTTTGTCATTTTGTGTTTTCTTCTAAGAGCTCTAAGCACTTTTAAGAAAGCCCTTTAGTATATCTATTACCAGGAAATTTCTATTCTGAGAAAACAATATAAAATTCTCATTGTTCATTCACGCTGGTGGCCACTACCTTGAATTTACCAATAGCCACTATGGCATAAAGTACCCCAGTTGTCACCACAGAGCCAGCTCCAAGCATTAGCCTAATCCTGTGCCTCCTCACTGATATAGACAGGGCTAGTCCAGGGTGAGAGGGACCTGAGAGCCTACCTGAGTGAGGAGATGATGTCCAGGAGTAGATCCAGGTTCCTGGGATGGCCATTTTGTCACCATCTCTGTCCCTCTGGAGTTAAATCCTAGGCTGCTCTGTAGTCACTCAAAACCCTGAGGGCTCTGTATTCCATAGCCATCCTTTACCTTTCTCCCCAGAAAGCACAAATTAGTTCTGTGCTTAGTATTATGAAACAGCCTAATGAATTTGTTTTATTAATCATCAAGTTGAAATAAAAATTTAGCCATTTCAATTAATTGCTTCATTGGATGATATGCCCTTTTACATTTTCATGGTCATTCCTTCTGATTCTTAAAAAAAAGTACTTTGATGTACTTTTTCCTTTCTGGTAATCTGAACAAGAAAATGATAACACCTATATTCTTAACTTCTAATGCGTTTTTTTATTCAGCACCCAAGGCTATATTTCCTTCCCAGGCACCCAAGGGGAATCTCATAGCACTGATGTTCTGGAACCTTCTTTCACATTTCCTAGGTTTTAGGAGTTGGGATAAGTTAAACATTGAACTGTTCGCTTGGCATAAGGCTGTGAAATGCTCTTACCTAATGGATTTATAGACTAGTTAACAGTAGTAAATATACCTAGTGTTTTCAGGGAGGTAGGCAGAACAAATCCTGTCTGGATAGAGGTTTTATGTTTGTTTTACTAGACTTTTTAAGAGCAGTTTTCAGTTTAATAGCAAAGTTGAGTAAGAAGAACAGAATTCCCATATATTCCCTGGCTCCTCAACTTGTGCAGACTTTTAAAAGGAATAATATCCACGCTGCCTCCATTTCCCTTGGCAGACTAGAGAGTGACTTCAAGTGCTGGTACCATACTTTGTAGAAACATCGTCATTGTCAGCATTTCTCATTGAATACTAGATTTCAGCCTTTAAACAGTGGGCCCCCTGGCCCTAAACACCTAGCACAACACAATGAAGCCACTTACTCCATTGGGACCAAAACCATCTGTAGTTCAGACCCTGTCTTTTTGGCTTCCAATCTACTCTGGCCTAGAGGAAAGCACACAGAACCAGAAACAATCCAGGCCAAAGCTGGGGCAGGAGGTGGGAGTAGTCTTCAAATGAGACATGATGGTCATCAGAGAGAAGGTAAAGCGAAAGCTGGAAGCAGAAGTAACTCTTTAGGAAGAGATCTGCTTTGGTTTAATCTTAATCTGGAGGGTTTTTTTAGATAAGCCTGAAGCATGTGTCTCTCTGAATAGAAGAAAGGCAATCTTAGAATACCGATTCTATGGGTTTCTAGAACAGTTCCCAGAAAAGAAAACCAAATTCAGATTCCATTACAATGTCAAAGAGTGGAAAATGAACAAGTAAATAATAAGGCTGGTGTCACTTTCTTCCAGGTCCCATATTTAATGCCTCTGTGCACTCGGACACACCATCGGTCATCCGGGGAGATCTGATCAAATTAGTCTGTAACATCACTGTCGAAGGAGCACTGGATCCAGGTAGCTCTCTCTATTCTTTCTCTTACCCCATATTTTTGAAAATGTTTCTCATATCACCACCTCGTAGTCTTTGGCTTGATACTGCCTTGGTTGAATGGGTACATGTATCTGTTGCATGATTTAGAAACATGTCCAGATATTTAAATTTCAGTTGCCAGGGCATTCAGTGGTTCCCCTCCAGTGCTGATTTGAAACCTTCTGGTAAGACTTACTCCCTTTCTATGTCTTTAGTTCATTTATTCATTCAGATATTACTGAGCTCCTTCGATGTTTAAGTTCTGCTGGGAATAGAGGAGTAAACAAAATTCTAACCCTGTCCTCATGGATTTTGCATCCTAGTTAAGGACGCAGGCAAGAAGATAGCAATTAACATTATGAGGAAATGCAGTTCAGAGTAAGGGAGTTTTAGCAAGTGACCAGGGGGTGCAATTATAGAATTCTTAGGAAATCTTTTCTTTACAGAAAATATTAGTATGACCAACAGCATACCTCAGAGTTGTGGGACCATCCATCTCACATCTTTTCTGCTTGGCCCCATTCAGTGATGAGGTGATGTCCCTTTATTGCTCTTGATCCTTAAGGCCTGAAAGAACATTTACTGCACTTAGGATGCTCTGTTGTTTAGCAGCTCTGAACCCACCTCTGCTTTTTCCCAAAGACCCCACGAAGAACCTGACTCACTAAAGGCTGCCCTTTTCTCCTCCACTCACTTTGACCCTGGACACTGTCCTGCCCCACCCCATCACAAGCAGAACCATGGCTTCATGCAGACTTGTGCCTTGAAAAGGACAAATTGTGCAGGGTCTCCATGTTTCTGTGTGGAGACTGCTGGAAGTGTGGCTGGTGTATGTGGGGGTGGGGGGGCAAGAAACAGGTTTCCTTTGGTAAGAAGGGGCAGGTACCAGTGCAAAGGGAGGTGACATAGAGCAGCCAGAGTGAGTACCCAGGGTAGCAAGGCACTGGGGCTTGCCGGCATCTTCGAGCAGATACCTGGAGCCGATGCACCAGGCAGCCACTGACCAAGTATACGTCTGGCTTCTGCAGGACTTCCATTGGATGGTTCAGATGGTGACTAGTTTGGGGTTTTCTGTAAAGTACCAAGTAGGAAATATTTTTGGCCCTGTAGGCCAGATGGTCTCTGCAGCAACTCCTCAATTCTGCCACCATAACAGGAAAGCAGCTGTAGACAACAATGTAAACAAATGGGCATGGCTGTGTTCAGTGGAGCTCTGTTTACCCAAACGGGTGTAGGCTGGATTTGACCTGCAGCCGGTAGTTTACTGATTGATAACCAGCATTAGCTGTCTTAGGGAAGCTGAATGTGAGTGAGCTTTAGAGGTAGGAAAAAGAAGATTGTAGGAGATGTAAGAAAAGAAAAAGAAAGAAACCCATCAAACTGGTGGAGTTGGTTAGCTCTGTTCATGGGGGTAGGGAATGAGGAAAATAGGTCATAGGTGAGTGGCCACTGTTGTACTGAGATGTGGAAGATTGAAGATACAAAGGCAGCATTCAGAAGTGGAAATGAAAGTAAAAGAAGAAAAGATTGCTAGGGAAAGGGAAGAGATCTTTCTTAAAAGTCAAAATAATGGAATGCCATTTTTACCCTTATATCTCATTTATGACATATACAAAAATAAATCCATTGAATATGGTTTCTCAGTAAATTAATGGGTCACCAGTTGTGCCCTTAGTGTAAAAATGTTTTTCTCCAGTGTTATTGCTAAAGCTATGGGAGCTGATAATCTTGCAGATCATAATTTTCCAGAACTTTGCACTCTTGGACTGTGTGGGTGGAAGATTCTGAATAATTAAATAAACATTATAATTTATTATTTTTCTCACACATCATGCAGACTGTGAGGAAATTCTCTTTTGGAGAGTTGCATGAGTAGGCCGAGGGCTAAGGTGCCCCGGTGCCAAGATAGGTGACAGAGCATGGGTCATGCTGTGAGTCAGCCTCTCCAGAAGCAGAGCCCACAGTGACCTGTGCATGGGATGCTCTCTGGGGAGTCCCATGAGGGATTGGAGATAGAGCAGAGGAGGAAGTCAGGCGCTGCCGGAGGTAAGAATGCCGAACAAGTCTCCCTCCACAGGGGGCTCTCAGAACGGAGTGCTTCCAGAGTACTGCTCACCTTGCACCAGAGGACCAGCTCTTCTTTCCCTACACAAGGCAGTTGTTGTCCAGAGCGTGAGGGGCCAAGGAGTGCGTGTGTTTCATAACCTGCACAAGGCATGCCCAGGATGAGGCTTCTGTCAGCTAAGGCCAGACCTTGGGGAAGGTTACAGAGAGAGAGCTTCAGCAGGCAGCACCTGCAGCGGGGAGTGGGGACTCAGAGGGCACCAGCAGCATCTACTACAGGCAGTGGAGCCCTTCCCATGAGCAGTGTCTATGTGTAGGACCAGGTATTGGAACGGCAGGTGATGACTTCATTGTGACCAACTTTTATCAAGCATTGGTGCTGTTCTAAGCATTTTTATAGTTAATTTAGCCATGGATGGTGTTAGTTTCATTTTATAGACAAAGGAATTAAGTTGCAGTGAACTTAAGTGATTTACCCGTGACACATGGCTAGTGATTTCTGGTGCTGGGATCTAGCCCATGTAGCCCACCCCAGCAGGCACAGTGGGGAATCAGAGGGTAGAGTATGGATGCAAACAATAGAAATACAGCTTTGCCTTCTTGCCTTGGCTGAGTACCCAGCACTGCAGGTGACAGCAGCACTGACCTAGAGTTTCCACTGAGGACATGAGCATGGTCCCTCTACCCTGGCACCCACAAGCATGAGGAAGTCGAGGGTACTCGTGTCATCCCCTCAGAGCTGGCATTGTCCAGAGCATGAGGGGCCAAATTTTATGCTCAGGTTCCACAGTGGGTTTGTAGAGAGAAAAGGGAGATACTGTATTACATTTTCAGAGTGAGCAGAAAAGGAATTATCATGGGATAATTTTGTAGAAATTTCTGCTTTTAGTTGAGCTTACATTCTTTTTTAATACGGAACCACCTAAAGATTTATTTGCCTTATAATATGCTTTTTGAAGTTACTAGTATACTTTTACTAAATGAAGAAACGTAACTTTTTGTATAAACTGCATTATATATACACATACATACACACATACATACATATATTGTCAATTTCAGGTGAAACATGTTTGTGGCTCATGGTCCTTTCTTGCCCACTGGATAAATCTGAAAGCAGACCCAGCTGATATCAGCTGGTACCAATGAAGAGACAAGGTCAGGGGCTTAGGATGTGTGCTCATCTTCCCACCTTCTTGAAGAATTACCACTGTGCCGCAGTCTTCTTTCTCTTTGGCCATATTAATTTATTTGAGGCTATTAGAACCTTAATTTTGCAGAGTACTTTATGACCCAGCAGTCCTCGCCGGTACTGTTAAACTATGTTCAGTTTTCTCAGCTTGACATTTTTTTTCTTCTTGTTTTGAACTTAAGCATTTCTGCAAGAAAAAAAAAAACAGTGTACAATAAAATCTAAATTGTTTACAACTCCAAATTTTGTACAATTCATTTTATGTACATTTTGTTTCTTGTGACTTCAGCCTCTCTCGGTCTTGGGTTCTTCTCCCTGAAATGTTGAAGGACCCTGATTTGTTTGGGAGACAGAGTGTGCGATGTCGCCACCTACCAGCCTTATGTTCGGTGTTGTCTATGGAGGCACTTTAGCCCTGGCCCTTCTTCCTATGACTCCTCAGGTTGGGTGGTGGCAGTAGAGGATTTAAGAGGCTGAACCCTGAAGCCAGATTTTCTGGGTTAAGTTGTGCAACCCTGAACAAAGTGGCATCACCACAGAGGTGGATATGATAGTTCCTTCATCACAGGGCTGCTGTGCAAATGCACATAGAGCGGAGCAAGCCTGCGATACACATGTTACATACATGGTGGCTGTGTGTATCTCTTGCTTATTGCATTGACCCCAGGACCTGGCTTGGTAATTCACAGATAACATGGCCTTTGATGTGACTTGGTTTGCGGTGCACTCCTTTGGTTTGGACAAGGCTCCTGCTCTCCTGTCCTCCTTGGATCGGAAGGGGATCGTGACCACAGGGCGGAGGGACTGGAAGAGCAACCTCAGCCTGGAGCGTGTGAGTGGGCTGGAATTTCTGCTACAAGTACATGGCTCTGAGGACCAGGACTTTGGCAACTATTATTGTGCCGTGACTCCGTGGGTGAAGTCCTCAACAGGTTCCTGGCAGAAGGAGGCGGAGATCCTCTCCAAGCCCATCTTTATAACTGTGAAGATGGATGGTAAGCCAGCCGTGCAGATCCTCGGTGTTTCGGGAATGTCTTCTCTGTGCTGTGTAGCAGCTGTAGCCAGGCATCCCCGGTTTGAGTTCTGTGCCACTCCACGTCCAACTTGCTTTCTCTGTCAGCCTGGCCTGGGCTGGACTCAGGGACAGCAAGCAGCCCTTGCTTATTCCCAACTCTGTTGTCCTGTGTGGGAGCACCAGTGGAAAGTGATTTTCAAGACTTAACTGGAAAGATTTTTCAAGGCTTTGCCTCTTCTATAAATTCTGTAGAAATCCACTCTACTGTGTCCTGAGTTTGGCAAATATTCTGCCAGGGGAGCGGCAGAGAACAGCATTGAAAGATAATTCAGGTCTCCGGGAGAAGCCATATTGCTGTGCCACTTTTGCCCCCCTGTTCACCAGCACAGAGTGGGGACTCCACAGAGCCCCCAAATGGGAGGATGACTCCCAGTTTTTCTGGTCCAAGGTCAACCCAACTAAGTGGTAAGATCTCTGTTCCCTGAGCATCAAAGGTTGGAACACTTGTTCCTTGATTCATAAGAAACACATCTCCCCTATAGAAAAGCTGTAGAACATAGATGCCAATTGGGATAACCGCACAGAGAGAATTAAAGTCTGGGTGCCTCCGAGGATCAGTAGAAGCCGTAGGAATGTTTCCCAAGTGATATGCCAGTTTGAGGTGATGGCCCTGAGAACCCCAGCTTTTCCACAGATGGGTTAGCCTTTCCAGTCATCTCCTTTCTTTCTAATGGGACAATAATGTCTCAGTTGTGAAAATCTAACCATACTAAGCGTAAGGGACCTGGCTCAGTGGCACCCAGCCCAGGAGCGAAGTATTCAGGGGGATGGGAAGACAAGGCTTCAGGAGTAGCATCTCAACAGTGTTTGTACATTTTTGAAACTTCTGTCATCTATAGTATGTTTGCATCTTGGAAATCCCTTGCTTGAAGTGATTATATATGAAAACCCAGATTTACCAAATAAGTAGGGGAGTGATTATTCACGTTGCTAGATAATTTACTATAGTGTTGCTTAAAATAAGCTCCCTTAGTACACTTCAGTTATTTGATGCATAGAATTGATTTATGCAGAATTTTTTAAGGACGCATCTGCTGCTGAATGTGTGGTGCCCTTATACTGACTTTTAAAAATCAATCTCCTGCCAAAACCCCAAAAAGCAAGTTGACATTCAAAGGCATCACATGAAATCTTTTTTCTCCTCCCACCCCGCAGAACTCTACGGGGAGACATTTGCTCATTTTGTCAATAGCTGAGGTGCTCCTGTGTGCAGCACTGTGGTAGGTGCTGGGCAGTGCTGGGTGTAGGATTTATGAGACCTGATCCCCCGGGGAGACCCTGTTCAGGGGTGAGGGAAGCAGCAGTCCTCAGCTGCCTCCTTGCAGCACTGACGCCTGCCCTGTTCTCTCCCTCCCAGTGCTGAACGCCTTCAAGTATCCGCTGCTGATCGGCGTGGGTCTGTCCACGGTCATCGGGCTCCTGTCCTGCCTCATTGGCTACTGCAGCTCACACTGGTGCTGTAAGAAGGAGGTGCAGGAGACGCGGCGGGAGCGCCGGCGGCTCATGTCGATGGAGATGGACTAGGCGGCCAGCAGGGAGGGACCGAGGACGCTCTGGGGCAGCGTGGGTGAGAAGAGGACAGTGATATTTTAAAACGAAGTGTGTTACACTAAAACCAGTCCTCTCTAATCTCAGGTGGGACTCGGCGCTCACTCTTTTCTGCATGTCAGGTTCTGAGCGCGGACATGTTTACCAGCACACAGCTCTTCATCCCACGGCACTTTCTGATATATAACAATCGAGTGTGTGTTTTCCCGACTGCAGCTTTTTAACGGTTAACCTTCGTCTAATTTTTTTCTCCTACTGGCTTATAGATCCTCTGACTTGTGTGTGTTGATGGCTTTTGTTGCGAGGGCGTGTGGTGAGGAAGGGGTAATGGCATTCAGAGTTCTTTATCTCGGGTGAGATTGTGCCCGCCCGCAGCAGGGGCTGATGTGGGGAGGGCTGCTGTGACTACCCCGGCCGGCCGAGAGGTGACACAGACCTGTGTCGAAGGCCAGCTTGTCGTTTATACTCCCCTACCCCATCCCCTGTTTCCAGGGGTCTAGACTACATTTGAAATCTCAACTTGGATTATGTAACTTCTTATCGAGCCCAGATGCATTTTTTTTTCTTCTCTCCCTCTTCTCCACTTCTCTTGCATCTGTTTTCTGTGAGCGTGCTGACAGGCCAGCCCCGGAGTCTGGAATTTGGCTTCCCACCAAGCACCTTATCTTGCCACCTTCGCCTTAAGAATGAACATGAAGACAGGTACACAGCCACCTCTGTTCAGCGCAGTTAGAAGTCCTGTGAAGAAGAGGAGGTTGGGGACCAGGAAGGACGGACATTCTGTCAGATGGATCACAACCGCCGAGCCTCAGGGGCGCCCGTGAGACCAGGACAGGGATCCAGGATGTGAGGGTTATGCAACCCGGGTCAGGAGGTCAGGGCAGATAGGGCGAAGCTAGGCTGAAGAAGCCCCTCTGTCCCCCTCCCTCCCTTCATGAGAGGCAAACGTGTTGGCCACCAAGGGACTCGCAGGGAACCCTCAGCTGTGCCATGTCCTTCACATGCCAGTTGGGTTCTTCATGTGAAGGCAGATTGCTGCTTGCAAGATTGACTGACTTCAAGGACTCAGAAATTGCCTAGAGGAGTTGTGTATTTTCCATGACCTTTTCAGTCCTTCAAGTCTTTTAAAAATCCTCTGCAGGGGGCTAGTGAGAGAGGGTATACTTTGTGGTATGTTTGCTTTCCTGTTAGGAAACCCAGCAATTTACTGCTGCGTGAACGGCCTATAAAGTAGGGTTGAGAGCAGTCACTTTGCCTGACTGCTCCCATTAGGAGCAGAGGAGCAGACAGAAGAGATGGTCCAGGTCCCGGGCTTCTTCTGCTCTAGCAGTGTGCCCCCTCAAGGCCCCTGCCCCTCGAAGTGTCACACCCCACGCTGCACTGGCCTTCCAAGAAGCATCCCAGTAGGGTTTCCCGAGGCTCCCCAGGACTCGCCCTAACTGCAGTCCTTTGTGCTTTTATCCTGGCTCTAAAGGATCGAACACACTGTCTTCCAAAGGAGAAAACAATTCGTTTGTTTTGAGCAATAAAGTAATACAAATTGATAGCCATTCATGTGCGGCTCTTTGTCACCATGGGCAGATGAGACCAGCTCCTCCCTGCTCTCCATCTCCTCTCCTTCCCTCTCTCTGCTGCCTATGACTGGGTCTGCACTTAGCACTTATTTGATCCAGAGGCAGATTTCTACCCAGTTTTCCCTTTTTATTTTGCCCACCGTGGAAACCACTCCTGTAGTTGAAGTGCTAGGTTCTGTGCTGATGGTTGCAGAAGAGCTGGGTTCTGGGCCTCAAGTCTGGTGGGGAAACAGGCAGCAGCTATACACAACCCCAGTGAGAGACTGGAGGAAAAAGAGACCTCGATGGCACTAGATTTGGGTATTTTCTGCGTGTCATTTCCTAAGTATGCTGTTTCGGAGGGGGTGGGACACAGATGATTGTATAAACAGGAGTTAAAGCAGCAGGTGCTGTATTAGTAGCAGCCAGTGCCCTTGAACTCTTAGTTACTAAAAGAAGATTGACGATTGTTATAGCACAGGTGCTTCTTAGCTTGGACAGGAGCAGGTGGGTCACACCAGACACTTGGTGGTGGTAAAAGGATCGTGTGGTCACACGTTATACCTTTTCCTTTCAAATGGATGGTGCAGTTCAAGGCTGAGTTGTTAAAGCACTGACCTCCACACATCTCTGCTATGTCCATCGGGCCAGCCAATCCTCGGGTCACCTGGGGGCAGGGAGAGGGGGCAGAAATCCGAGGACATTACACCAAGGAACATAAACTTGCTTGGGATGTGTGTCTGTTTTAAAGTATGAGGTACGCTCTTGTACCAAATAGGGCTTCCCACAAAGTGCTCTTCTGGGAGAGGCTGCTGCCAGCAGCAGCACTTGGTGTGAGTGAAGGAGGGACTGAGCCAGGCCTCATATGGATGAAATTGCACTTCTTGACAAAAAAGAAACTATGGAAGGTTGGGTTTTTTCCTAAACACAAAGGTGTATCCAGAAAGAGCCTAAGCTGTATTCAGATAGAAGCCTCAAAATTACTTTAGATTGTTTACTTTATGATGTTTACATACACGTTTCACTTTTTAAAAAAAGAAAAATGCAAACTCTGGCTTTTTAAAAACTTTGCAAAATTTTCACGAGACAATGGAACTCTGACTCACCAGCTGAATTAAATCTTAATTTAGAGGTGTATTTATATGTGTGTTTCCCCCCCTCCTAGCCATGTGGCTCCCTCCTGCCCAGATCTTTGTCTCTTTCCCCGGTGGCTCTTGCCTCTTGCTTTGCAGCCTGCCTGCAGCCGTGATTTTTGTCACTGACATCTGTGAGCCAAAGACCGAGCCTTTTCGGCAGGAACGATAAGCAATACTACCCGACTTGCTACTTTCAGAAAACTTTCTTTAGCTTCGCCGATGACAACAGAGGAAGAAGGGAACTGGGATTTGGGTAAGTTCTCCTCCACTGTTCGACCAAATTCTCAGTGAAGAATATATGTGCAGATCCCTAGGAGACCAGGCTGACTTTCTTTCTTTTTTAGTGTGGCACATAAGGATCTGCAAAATTTTCCGTAGACAAGGAAAAGGTCTTATGTATTTTTGTCCATATCCAATGTTATATGAACTAATTGTATTGTTTTATACTGTGACCACAAATATTATGCAATGCACCATTTGTTTTTTATTTCATTAAAGGAAGTTTAATTTAAATTGTAGTTGAGTGAGGAACTTAATATTAGCCTGTTTTCCTTCCATCTCTCCATTGTGAGGGATTGTGGATGAATCCCAGTTGCAACCTTAGTGCTTTCTGATCTCACTGAACTCTATAAAAGCGTTGTAGACTCTCACTAATGATAAAAGAAGAAATGGATTCCATGGGGTGCATGTTGAGGATCCCACTACACAGAAAGGTAAGGGCTAGGACCCTGTCATTATGGATGGTCTCTGGGCCTTTTGCTGAATTCCCATACTCTCACAGGCCTCCTTTCAGGAAAGACAGGTTAAATATCATTCCTATCTGCAGATGAGGAAACAAACACCAGTGTTTCATGACCATATTGTGATCGGGACAGAATGGTTTTTGTGATTCATGATGCAGCCTGGAGCCAGGCTGGACCAGAAGGTATCAGCCTCTGCACTGTGGAAACAGTCCTGTTCCCCACATTCCTGGCTTCAGCACACCTGGGCAGGAGTGAGGGCTGACAGCCCTCGCCATCGGCCCTTGGCTGGCCTCCCCAACTGACTGTCCCGTTGGCCTCATTTGTATTCTTGTGTCTTTTGTGTCCTGTTGAGGGACCAGCTCACATTATAAGTTATTCATGGCTGGGTGTGTGTCCTAGTCACTCACAGTGCCCAGTGATTGGCATTGTTCTAGGCATATAGGAGACACTTGGACTTCACAGCTAAATTGTCTGCTGTCAAAAATGGCCTGTCGTTACATGCTTCTCAATGACCTGGGAGGATCTGCTCATGTCAAAATACTGATGCAGTCAGAGCTGGTGTTTGGCAATCCCCTACCTATTATTGAACCCATTCCTCCCTCAAAAGCAAAACAAAAACGTACTTGCACACCTACCATGCACATATGAAAAGAGGCTTGGCATCACTAATCATGAAAAATGCAAATCAAAACCACAATGAGATGTTACCTGACACGGATCCCAGGAGAAGGAAGCGTGCCATGCTACAGAGGAGCACGTGGGGAAGAAGCACCAGAGCTAGGAGGAGAATGAGGAGAAACAGGTGAGAGCTTTTGTTGTGGTTTTCACAGGAAGGAACTGGCAAGGCAGAGTAAGCAGGTTTAGGATTGGCTAGCTTGACTAATTTCCACATGTTCTGGGGGACAGGGATTGTCCCTGGCTGTCTGGTGCCTGGCTATGGTACAACCAGCAATAACAATAATATAAAGTACAGCTTAGAAAATAACACTGTGGTAGTTATTAATCTATCACCTTTAACTGTGTGAATTAAATCAAAATCAAGGACCAGCACAAAATATGTTTATAGCGAATAGACTGTTCAGTATAGCAACTTTACCCTTCGGGATGGGGACTTAGAAGGAGTTGGGGAGGGAGGGGTGGATAGGTAGAAGGAAAAGGAAAGGTTAGAAGTGAGGCCACAAGACACAGGAAGATCACGCAAACTCTAGGGGACTGTTGAAGACAAGAGGAAAAGACAATGAAAGAACAAAGACAAGAACTGAACAACTAATCACCAATAGGGAGGCTAGAAACTATGTTCACTTTCCTTTGAAACTAATGACAATCGAGAGAAGGAAAAAACGAGAAGAAAAAAAGAAGAAATCCGAATTAGGGAAGGAACAGTAACAAGGGAGATGAAGAACAATGTGGGAGAGTGAGAGAGAGAGAGAGAAAGAACAGAAAAAAAAGAAAAAGAGGCCCAGGGATTTAGCTCAGTGGTGCCCCGCCTGCCTCGCAAGCACAAGGTCCCAAGTTCGATCCCCGGTACCAAAAAAAAAAGCCTTTACCAAAAAGAACAAGAAGAGAGAGAAAAAATTTGAAAAGAGTAGAAAAAACAAATAAAAATTAAAAAGGAGAGAAAAAAATAAGTTTGAAAATAACAAGTAACAAATAAAAATGAAGGGCCTCCTTAAGGTGCGTCTCTGCTGTCACAATAGACAACATGGGCCACAGTGTGCAGGTCTAAGTCAATTAGACTGAGCAGGCCAGTAGGAGACCCCTGAGATTCAGGCTGATTTCTGGCTGCAAGGCCCAAGTTGAGCTCCCTGACCTCCTGCAGGGTTGAACTCTGCAAGGTTCTACTGCAGGTTCCAGCTGCCTTTCCCTGAAGATAGTGCAGGTTCCAGGTTCCGATGGGAGGTGCTGATCCCTCCAACTTAGCAAGCATGGTGGTCTGCTGTGCCTTTATTGCAGAGACTCTCCTCACTTTTCCAGTGGGCTTCAGTTTTCATCAGGGAGCCTGAGAGAGGCCCTCTCTCTGTTGTTCACTTCTGCCCTATCTTCTGGAGCTCTGGACAATGGCCTTTATGACTCCCTGTGCCTCTGACAGGTGTAGGTGCAACCAGGAGGCCAGAGGCGGGGGTGCCTGGGGGCTAGGGTGGTGCTACAGGTGCCCGAACTGCTCCACTCCTCACCTGTCCACCCCTGGCTGGGAGGCCCGAGACGGGGTGGTGTAGCTCCTGGTGCCTGGCTATGGGTGATTAAAGTGAAAGAACAGTGGTCCTGAATGTGACAGAGGAGGTAGTGGGGTGTGGGGTCTGGCCTGGTTGCTTTGCACAGGAAAAGCATGCTCCCCGTTGATCTTTTCTGTTTGAGGAATTGGCCAGCCCTGAAAGGCGCAGTGTCAGCAAAACATCAAATACGAAAGCATCAAAAACCAGAAAATAAAATGATACAATTAATAGGTACTCACTGTTTGGGGCATGCAGCCTGCTAGGGTATGGACCTGTGGAAGTGCTGCTCCCTGCATCTCTGTTCTGCGTATTCGCAAACCTGTTTGTGGCAACAGTACTTCTTTACTGTAATTATACAGGGTTCACCAAAAAAAAAAAAAAAAATGTATACACACTTCAGGAAAAGAAAAATAGTATGATATTTTTCAACAAATGATGTTACCCTCATGTGGGGGTCACAAGAAGATGTCATATATCACAGAAAACCCACTACACTGCTGGTCCTTAGAAGAGAAATTTTAAGTGCATGTGCAGCCATCTCAATGAACAAGCTTACCCAACCAGTAGTGCACCATACTAATAAACATCTGGAAGCTAATGGCTATCGCTTTGAGCACGCTTTGTAATTGTAGAGGCCAAAGGTAACTTGTATTAATCTCATGATGTCTCAATAAATTTAGTATTAAAATATTTATACAAGTTTCTGTTTTCCTGAAATGTGTATACATTTTTGGTGGATTCTGTATACATTCATCTAATAGCATGCAAACCAATGAAATGCCATCATCAAAGAAAGAGGTATCAAGAAATGCTATTGGGAGAGCTGGGACCATAGCTCAGTGGTAGAGCACTTGCCTAGCATATGTAAAGCCTTGAGTTCAATCCCTGATACTAGAGGAGAAAAAGAAAAAGCAAAGTAATGCTGTTGGTAAACTAGATGTTCATATATGAGTTAAGTAGGACCCACATACCACATACTAAAAATAAAACCTAAATTGGGTTAAAAACATAAATGTAAGAATAGAGCTATAAAAATCCTAGATGAAAACAGGGACTGCTTCAAAATACTGAATTTGGTGATGAGTTCTTCGCATATGACACCAAAAGCATGAGCAGCAAAACCAAAAATAAACAAATACAAAAACTTCTACTTGTCTGTCTTAGTCATTTTCTTCTTGCTAGAACAAAATACCCAACTCCCACAACTTAAAGCAAGAGAGGTTTATTTCGGATCATGGTTTTCAGTCTGCAGTTGGCTGGCTTCAAGGCAGGAAGGGCCTGGCAGAGGGAGGCTGCTCACATCAGGTAGCCAGGAAGCAGAGAGGGTAGAGAGGATCCAGGAGGGAGACAGTGACCCACATCCAAGCAGCTTCCTAACAGCAGGTTAGTTGTCGTGCTTATTTCCGGAAGCCCCACCTCTGAACATGTGAGGCTTTGGAGGACATTCTAGATCTAAACCATAACAATGTCAAAGGAAACAACATAGTGAAAAGGCAACTGATAGAATGGAAAACAATATTTACAAACCATATATCTGATAAGGGGTTATTTCCAGATTGTAGAAGAAACCCAATTAAAAACTGACCAAAGAACTTGAATAGGCAACTCTCCAAAGAATGTTTACAAATGATCAACAAGCATTTGAAGAGATGCTTTGCAACACTGCTCATAAGAGAAATGCAAATCAAAACCACAATGAAATATTACCCGATATCCGTTAGGATGGTCATTGACGAAAGAACAGAAAATAGCAAATGTTATTCTTGTGCAAGAATGCAGAGAAACTGCAATGTGTGCTGATGGTGAGAGTATAAAATGATGCAGCCATTATAGAACACAGTATTGAGGTTCTTCAAGAAATTAAAAATAGAACTAACTGGTGATTCCACAATCCCACCTCTGGGTCTTTACCATATCAAAAAAATTAGGGCCGGGGATTTAGCTCAGTGGTTCTGGCGCCTGCCTCGCAAGCCCAAGGTCCTAAGTTCAATCCCTGGTACCAAAAAATAAAATAAAATAAAATAAAGCAATATATAGATATCATGGAATATTACACAATCCTCAAAAATCTTGACATATGCTACAACATGGATGAATTTTGATGACATTATTCTAAGTGAAATAAACCAGTCACAAGAATAAATATATATGATTCCTCTCCTATGAAATCTTTAAAAGTAGTCCAAAAGTACGGCAACGGAAGGTGTGGAAGATAATTAGCAAGAACGAGGGAAGAGGAAATTACTATCTAGTGGGTATCAGGTTTTGGTGTTGTGAGATGAAAAAGCTCTAGAGATCTGTTGCACAACAGTGTGAATAGAGTGACTACTAAACTGTACAATTTTAAAATGGTTAAGATTTAATGTTGTGTTTTTCACTACAATAATTTAAAAAATGAATTTTCTGGAAAGATCCAGTAGAAACAGATTTCTTTTTAAACATCCTACCAACTTAGGTGTGGGTAAAACCCTAAAGAGATTGAAGGTGAGGGGAGGAGCAGAGGATCCGCAGCACATGGAAAGATTCTGTTCTCTATTGGATCCACTGATGTCTGTTTAGGTC